GCCATCAGTGCCTGTGAGAAAGGAGGACAATGGCAGCAAGGATTGAAGCTATTTGAGGCAATGACCAAGGCAGGCGTTCGACCCGATGTTGTCACCTACAGTGCGCTTATCACTGCGTGTGAGGAGGGCGGGGAATGGGAGCAAGCGCTCATGTTGTTCCATGCTATGCCCACGGCCGAAGTTCAGCCAAATGGCATCAGCTATGATGCTGCCATGAGTGCCTGTGAGGAGGGCGGGCAGTGGCAGCTTTGCTTGTTGCTGTTTGAGGCCATGTTGGAAGCAACCATACAGCCAAATCACATTAGCTGCAGTGCTGCTCTCAGTACCTGTGAGAAGGCCATGGCAACTAGCACAAAGCTTGTTGAGCAGCAAGCTTATTAATAAGTCTTTGTACAAGCAGAAGAGAGCGACCTCCAGAAGCTCTATCTGTTCCCAGAATGGGTGGACAAGCTCGACCGTGCTCCAAATGAAGTGCTCAGTTGGCTCCAAGCACAGAACCTGGATGATGTGTTTGCTTGTTGAGGATGTCGAAAAAAATCTAGCAGATTGACAACTTGCAGCAATCGCCGTGTTGAGCGAGATTCTTTACAGCACTTTTTTGGCGGAGATTTGTGTGAGCTGAAGCTCTTGCTTTTCTGGGATGTTCGGCTGGCTTTGAGCGCAGCATAGCGCAGCATAGTTCGGATGAAGTGCCTTGATTCGGATCAGACAAACAACTCTTGAACCAGTCTTCCACCCACTCCAGCGAATCTTCAAGGGATAAGATTAGAATACATAGAGGGTTATCTCCAATTCCCTGTATGGTCTCCTTACACCAGTCTTCCCTGTATTCCTGGAATATCTTTCCACCAATTCCTTCGGCCGAAGATGTGGAATTCACCTGTCGCCTGTATCGTGGGGTCGGGTTACGTCGCCCAGGTCGCATCCGAAGATGGGTGCGAAAGAAAGGGGTAGGAGCTGCAGGAGAAGCAGCGCTGGGCTTGTTGGAAGGACGTTCGTACTTATAATAGGTATACGTATACCCAGTCAATACTGTCCCCAGTCAATACTGACCCCAGTCAGTTGGCATTCCAAATTTTTGTTGGCAGATGTTTCGATTGGTTTCGAGATTGGTTTCGACGGCGACGGCGAATCCAACCAGGTGGAAAGTTCGGTTCACTGATTGGTTCGGTTCACCGGGCGTGTGGGTTCCCCGCTTTGGCTGTGTCATGTGTTTGCCTCCTTTGTTTTCGGGGCACCTGCCACACAAGCATGTGGTGGTGTGTTTTAAATAGGGAGATCGCCAACCAATTGGTGTTGGTCTAGTCTTCGGGAGGTCTTCCAAATTGAAAGACACACCCATGGTGCTGCAAGAAGCCCTTGGCTGATTGCTTCAATCCTTTTCTCCGTGGGACCACCGTCCGCGAACACGCTCAATGAGGTCCTTTGAAGGATGTGGGGCCAGTTGTTTTGAGGCATCGAATGTGGGACCATCTTCCATTTCGATCCAAAAAATGGATGATGTGAACAGCTTCCATTCCCTCGAGTCTTAGCACTTTTTGTGGCCAGACAATGCAGGGTTTGTTTCATGTTGTTTCCATGTCCGTTGCTGCAACTGGGAAGCTTGTCTTGGCCACGGACATCTCGTGTGGCCAGTCCTGCGAGTCAGGTCAACCCACATGAAGACCGCAAAGGATCACCTGCAGAAGCTGAAAAACCGAGCCAGTCAATGGATCACCTGCAAAACCGGAGGATGAGTGGCACCCCACGAAATATGGACGGCGAACGATGGTCGGTTCACCGTCCTTTGGTTCCGCGAAACGGTTCTGATCCGGCCGGAACCGTTTGGGGACGAAACGAGCCAACGACCGGATCAACGACCGTCCTGAGGGAGCGACGAACGGATCTCACCGAAGCGCGAAGTGGCCGGGAGTTGCGTTGAACCGAAGCGAAGTGGCCGAAAATGGCCGAAAAAGGGTCCTCAAGTGAAATCTGGACGTCGAACGTCCGGTGGCTCTGTTTGTCAGATCTGTTTCAGAACAAGAGTTCCCTCCTATTAGTCTGTTGTTGGGCATCGAGCTTAGCACTGCCAAGTCACCAGAGGGGCAGAAGTGGCCAGGTCGTCAACGCACTTTGCATTTAGTTTGGTCTCATTGATGTTATCATTCCTACCCGCAACAAGCTGGCGAGGTCAATCAAATGAGAAATAGCCATAGTGTCCTTTCATTGGCCGTTTCCTGATGCTCAAAGGGTTTTGCTTCTGAAACAAATGGTGCCATGAAACAAGCAGTTGTGAACGTCCTGAAGCGCCCAGTATCACTTCATGAAAGGAGCAGAGATGAACCGATATGGAAACTCTGTGGAAACCTCTTGTGCAATGATGTTGAAAGGGTTCTGTTGCCAGAACTCAAGCTATCAGAAGAGAAACTTCCACAAGTATTGAAGTTCTTCAGCGAGCAAAGGCAAGGCGACTTGGCGTTCGCAACTTTGGAAGCCGTCAGGAAAAATGGCACAATCCAGCTGAAAGCGTCGCATTACACGCTTGGGATTACCTCATGTGCTAAATCAAAAATGTCACAACAAGCGCTGAGGTTGCTAGAGGTCATGCCCCAGGCTCAAGTTCAACCAAATATTTACAGCTACAGTGCTGCCATCAGTGCCTGCGAGAAGGGTAGGCAATGGCAGCAAGCAATCACGCTGTTGGACGAAATGCCTAAGGCAGCCGTGCAGCCAGACGGCGTCAGTTGCAACGCGGCCATCAGTGCCTGTGAGAAGGGCGGGCAATGGCAGCGAGCATTAAACCTGCTTCACGGGATGTCAGAGGCAAAAGTGCAGCAGACCGTCATTAGCTACAATGCAACCATCAGTTCTTGTGAGAAGGCTGGACAATGGCAGCAAGCATTGAAGCTGTTTGAGGCCATGCCCAGGGCAAATGTTCAGCCAGATGTCATCAGCTACAGCGCAGCCATTAGTGCCTGCGAGAAGGGCCGGAAATGGCAGGAAGCATTGAACCTTTTTGAGAGAATACCCGATGCCAAAGCGCAGCCAAATGTCATAAGCTACAATGCAGCCATCAGCGCCTGTGAGAAGGGCGGGCACTGGCAACAAGCCCTTAAGCTGCTTGAAGATATGCTTGACACAAACCGTCAGCCAAGTGTCATCAGCTACTGTGCGGCGATCAGTGCTTGTGAGAAGGGCAAGCAATGGCAGCAAGCATTGCAGCTCTTGATGGCCATGCCCAAGGCAACTGTGCGGCCAGATGTCATCAGTTACAACGCTGCCATCAGTGCCTGCGAGAAGGGTGGGCAATGGCAACATGCGTTGAAGCTATTTGGTGCGATGCCAGTGGCAGCAGTACAGCCAGATGCCATCAGCTACAATGCAACAATTAGCGCTTTTGAGAAGGGTGGGCAATGGCAGCCAGCCTTGGAACTCGTTCAGGCCATGATCAAGGTAAGAGTGCATCCAAATGTCATCAGCTACAATGCGGCCATCAGTGCCTGTGAAAAAGGCGGGCAATGGCAACAAGCATTGATGTTGCTCGAGACCATGCCACTAGCAAAAGTTCGACCAACTGTTATTAGCTACAATGCGGCCATCAGTGCCTGTGAGAAGGGTGGACAGTGGCAGCAAGCATTAAAGCTGGTTGAGGCAATCCACATCGCAAATGTGCAGCCCGACATCATCACTTATAGTGCTGTCATCAGTGCCTGTGAGAAGGGCGGGCAATGGCAGCAAGCGCTGAACCTTTTTGAGAGAATACCCGACTCAACAGCAGACCCGAACGTCATAAGCTACAACGCAACCATTAGTGCCTGCGAGAAGGGTGAGCAGTGGCAGCAAGCATTGAAGCTGTTTGTGGCTATTTCCAAGGCAAACCTTCAGCCAAGCGTCGTCAGCTACAGTGCGGCTATCAGTTCCTGCGAGAAGGGTGGGCATTGGCAGCAAGCATTGAACTTGTTTGAGGCCATGCTGACTGAAACTGTGCAGCCAGATGTTTTCAGTTACAACACGGTCATCAGTGCTTGTGAGGAGGGCTGGCAATGGCAGCAGGCATTAAAGCTGTTTGGGGCCATGCCCCTGTCAAAAGTGCTGCCCAATGCCGTCAGCTACAATGCGGCTATCAGTGCCTGTGAGAAGGGTGGACAATGTTTGCAAGCACTAAAGCTATTTGAGGCCATGCCAAACACCAGCGTTCAGCCAGATGTTATCAGCTACAGTGCAGTCATCAGTGCCAGTGAGCAGCATGGAGAATGGCAGCAGGCATTGAAGCTGTTTGAGGAAATGCTCCAGGCAAAATTGCAGCCAACTGTCATCACCTACAATGCGGCCATCAGTGCCTGTGAGAAAGGAGGACAATGGCAGCAAGGATTGAAGCTATTTGAAGCCATGCCCAAAGCAAGCGTTCAGCCGAATGTCATCAGCTACAGTGCACTCATTACTGCTTGCGAGGAGGGTGGGGTATGGGAGCAAGCGCTCATGTTGTTCCATGCTATGCCCACGGCCGAAGTTCAGCCAAATGTTATCAGCTACGATGCTGCCATGAGTGCCTGTGAAGAGGGCGGGCAGTGGCAGCTTTCCTTGTTGCTGTTTGAGGCTATGTCGGAAGCAACCGTACAGCCAAATCTCATTAGCTACAGTGCGGCCATCAGTACCTGTGAGAAGGCAATGGCGCAGTCATCTTTCGTGAGGGAGAACAGTGCAGTTGTCCATTGATGGACGTGTGGAGGAACCACACTGCACGTGGGTTGAAAGTTGCAGGAATTGTATAGGAGGAACCCTGTGAGCCCCAAGCAAGCTTTGCCCCAAAAAGAGCTCGTGAATCCGCAGCCCATCCATCATTCGTGATTTGTCTGTGGGTCATGGCACCGGCAATACCCTGGTCTTTTTCCCACCGAACATGTTCACAGGTCTTAGACTACTCTGGCTTTAGGTGAACCTACCAGGTATGAGGGCTCGAACCAGGTGTCATGACCCACAGCCATCTACACCTGCAGAGCTCGTTTGCACCGTCCTCCCAGGCCCCCTTCTCCGCACCTGCGAGGCGCGGAGATGGCGCGCGCGGCTACGGGCGGTGTGTTTCGATGGATCAAGTGCAGTGAGTTCAAGGCCAGTCAGGTGGTATCAAGGTCCATCCCCAGCACTTGAAGTGAAGGGATAGGTACAATGCTGTTTTTTTTAATCCAACTTGGAATCAGCACTTGGCAGGTCACGGAAGAAAGATCTCGGACACGCTCCTCGAAAGGTTTGCGACAGTACTTACTCTTTTTCAACCACCCACATCGCTATCCTCTGGAGTGAAGGGATCATCTCGTCCTCCTGCCTTTCCAACCACATGTGTCCTGTCAGATCCCTAAGACAGACACCTGGGGCTTCCAGGTGACCGGTGTGTGTGTGTGTGTGTGTCTTCACTCGACTCATGGACCCCATGGCCGTCGATCGTTCGGAACGCGGTCGAACAGTGGGGTGAACGACCGGGTCGACTTCCTCGCCGAGGTCGAGGCGCCAGCACCACGCCTTCCTATGACCGCTATGATTTCTGCCGCGCCGTCGCGAGCGCGTTTCTGTCGCGTGTGTTGAAACCGCGTGGTGGTGGGGTCTCACTGGAGTTCCCAAAGGAGGAGGTCGCAGATGAGCAAAAAGAGTCCTTTAGGGTCGCAGTGCGATGGAATGGTCACAGGTTGACGATGAAATGCCAGGTTGACGATGAGTTTCCTAAACCAAAGGAAGGGTCCTTTTCTCTCTAAATCTTGCTGTGTGATTTTTCTATGTTTTCTATGATAGGCCTCAGAATGTGTTTCACTGTGGAATACTGTGGATCAGAAAGCAAATCCTACCAATTACCATGGGTTGACCACGAACATGGTCGGGCGAGGATTCTGTGAACCTTTTGGCTACTCACTAGATGTCCCGAGACTTGAGCAATCAAGTTTTGTTTGGCCCTGACGTTTTGTTAGTGGTCGTGGTGGTTAAGAATATTGTCCTTGCTTCACGGCATGTGCAAATGGTTACCCTAACTGACGAACATGTTTGTTCTCTGGTTGAAACCAACCAGATATCGATCAGGATCGTTTCTTCTTTAGTTCGTTTGTGTAACGGTCGGTGGCCGGTCGGTGGCTGCTAAAGGTCGGTCCCACGCGTCGCACGTGACCTTACAGCTAGCAATGGCTCCTATGACCTTAGCAAGAAATGGAGGCACATGAACTCATGGCATAGTACAACTGACATGTGAGAACATAGGGAGCAACCATTTGCTTTGGCAACTAGTTCAATATTGTTACAAAACGTGTTTGAAGAGTGAAGTGTCAACGCGCATTCTTTGTAGATCTTTCAACAGCTCTTCGAGGTACTTGTCTTGGAATGCCCTTAGCCTAGTATATAAAGAGGCCTTTCTTGACAATGAAAAGACCTATGCACCAATCATCAGAAGCCTGTCCCAGGAGAATCCAAAGAGGTTGTTTCTGAGAACTCTGAGTGTATCCGGTCTCCGGCAGATACCACCCACAAAAAGAACAGAACAAAACGATGCAGTTATGCACCTTTACACCACACCCACACCCACATCCCCCCTTCCCCCCCACGTGGCCGGGCCGTTTCAGCGCCGTCCTCCGCCCTCCGCCCTCCCAATGGCTGACCTGCCACGTCCGCTCTCACCGGCGAGCGGCGGGAACCGGTGAAGAGGCCGGGAACCGTCCACCGGTCGCTGCGGTGTCCTCCAGTCGCTGCAGGTCCGCCAGGAGCGCCAGGAAGTGGGAAGACCCTGGTTGCAAGAATGCGCACATCAAGCAAGGGTGAACGTGAAACACAAGGTGGTCAGTCCGGTCGCTGGTTTTAGATAGAAGCTATTTGATGATGAATATGATCTGGTTTGTATGGGACGCTGATAGAGAGGTGTTAAATGCAGAGCTGAGGCTGCACGGCTGAACAGGTGTGCCATTTGGAGGTTGGTTTGTTGAAAGGCCAGGAGAGTTCAACAGGGATGTAGCACAAAAAAACCTCTTCCACCGACCCATTTTGACCAACAGCACATCATTCGGGTCCACTGCAGTGCGGGAGACCACGGATGTCCCCGTGCCTCGTCGACGAGTGTCGCGCCGGCGCAGTCCATGGGCACCGCGTGTTGTAGCGAAGTGGAAGCGGCCTCGAACGAGAAAAAGCCGAAGCCCTTGCCGGTGGCCTCACCCTATCAGGTCGCAGGCGTGGTAGGGCGTGGTTGGGCGTGCGGGGTGCAGAGTGTTCGCTCGGTGTGGGGGTTTGGAGAAAAGTAAACTTGACAAAGGTTCGGGAGGTTAGTCTTTGCAACCCCCTGCAAAAGAAGTGACCAAAATTTGACTTTCAAGCGGAATGCTCATCCATTACAAAGCAGCGTTGCAGGGGCAGCCAAGCGCATGTGCATTTGGTGTGAAGATGTTCGGATGTCGGGACGTCTATGGTGGGTGACGATCAACCTTTGTTCGTTCCATGGCGAGGTGCAAGACCTCGCTATGGTCCACCCAAACTCAACGGTCCACCGGCAACCAGGCATGAGCTTGACATGAGTTTGAGGCGTTTGGGTAACCCAAACGGTCCAGCTGCTTCATGCTTCATGTATGATGTTTCGTGGTGCATGTAGGTGAGATTTACCACCTACATTGAACATTTGGCATGCTGTAACAATGGACAATCATTGACAATGGCCTGCACGAGAAATGACGTTCTAACAGACCCAAAGTAGATGACATAACGAACCCAAATGGTTGTTTGGTTGAACCACCTTGCTGTGCGACCTTCTTTGTTGTAATCTTTACCATAGTGATCGCCGGGATCACAGCGCTCCTTTGACATGACTGTTGACAGAAACGCCTTGGAGAAGACACGGATCGAGCTTCGATGATTGACAGTGTTTTAGCTGGAGTTCCTTGGTCAACTTGGGACGACTGTCTCCATGTCTCTCATGTCTCTCATGTCCAACGTGGCAGACCCGGACGAGCAGCGCCTGCCCTCCGCGTCCGCGCAGAAGGCCAAAGAGGCCCGCCCAACGAAAAAGCGCCCGACGGTCCATGTCGGCGAAGGGGGCACCAAACATCGCATGGACCGTCGGAAAACAAGAAGCACATGTGGCACAGGTGGCTTGGATGTTTGGGATCCAGAAAACAAGAAATTATACAAGCATAGACCCCAAACAGCTTCAAAACGATGGGAAAAAAGAGGATGTGCGGAACCCAAAAGTCCGGGACTGCAACTGTCAAGAGCTGAACATCCGTCCGATCTGAATCACACACATCAACAAAGCTGGGCAAATACCAGTGGCCCCCTGGGGCCTCTTCCGTCTCGTCCGTGTTCGGGGACCGAGACATCCGAAGGAACCTGTGCGGGGACGACGTCTCCAGGAGTCACGAGTCACTCGTTCGTCTCGTGTAACCTGGTCTTATTGGCTGAGCTCATGGCACTGGGACACCTCGGTTCACCAAAATGAACAGAATCAACGACCTATTGAGGAAGTGAGCGGGGTGACCTCTCTGATTTGCAGCAGAACTCTCATAGCTATAGCGAACACACCCAAGTGGCGTGTCGCGCTCCAAGGCGCCGAACGAGCAGCTGGACGCAGGCCTGATACGCTCCCGCGAGTTCCGGCGGTGTGATAGAGATGTGTTTTGGGGGTCTTGTGAAGTGACAGGAGGTTCTTGATCTTTGAGGTAGCCCTACTAGTTTGAAGATTCTCATATTCCTTCTCATATTCCTTGATTCTTAGGGTATTCAAGTAGGAAGAGCCCCCCAAGCATGAGGTTTTGGGATGCCTTTTGGTCTAGTTGTCCTTCTTCCGAGTCGAGCCACGTGAACCCATCTGGGAGAATCCGGAAACGACGCAAGTGTTCCACACGGTCAGTGCGTGGTGCTTCCGTCGTTTGACAGATCAGGTGATTAATTCGTCCTCCTCAGTAAGTCCCTTTTGGATGGCTGCTATTTGCTGTGGTAGAAAAGGATCTTCTATAGCTCGACCACTCCCCCTTGATGGTCCTATCTCCTTTCCTTGCCCACTCTTCCGACTTTCAGTGATGTGCACAGGGCACAGCGGGGCCTTTTTTTCCAAGGAGAGGTTCCTGGTGGATTCATCCGTTGGTGCGTCTCCGTCCGAAGATGAGAAGTTCACTGGCAAGAACCAGGCAGAACTCAAAGACCAGTATTTGTGCGTCCTGTTGATTGAAATGAAAAGAATCCAACTCCATGAGCTGTCCTCATCCATCAGCTATCATCCAGGAAGCCCCTCCTCTGGTAGACCTTACCGCAAACCGGTGCTTTGGCGGTTCAGACGGGTCTCTCACGCCCCAGGCGATGCCGAGGTCGGACAGAGACAGTGACGGTCGGCGGGTGTGGTTTTCGCTGTGGAGCTGCCAGGTACATTCGACAGAAACCCCCCCCAGGTGACTTGGCATGGATGGTAAAATATAGGTATATAGGTATATAGTACTATATATACTGTATACATTCAACCTACCCTGGTTTGGAGGGTCTGTGTTTTGACCCAGAGCCATTTCACGACAGACCCAAAGCCAGACACGACCTAGTTGGGACTGACCGACATCTCTCCCGAGATCTCAGGCCAGACGCAGTTGACACCGAGTCTTTTCTGGGGCGACAGATTCACCCATCGGTCGCGTTGGGTAGATGAATCGATTGTGTGAGCAGCGTGAGCACTAGTTCTTTTTCGTCCTCCACGAGGGCGAGACTTCGATGTGAGAGATGTGAGACAGATTCGAGATTGGTCCGGCGGTAGAGACTCACCGTCGAAAGGACATTGAAATTCTCTACCTCTAACTTGTGGATCTCCATTGATTTGAGCACCCCGGTTCACGAAGGTCCATGAACGATGTTTGATACGTTTCCCAGGTCATGTTTGTCCGCTCTTCCCGGGTCGCGTACTATACCTAAACAAAGTTGTTCGCGCACCAAAACTTTTGTTCCGGGCCTGCAGACTGCGGTTCATGGATGTTGGACCGAATTTCTTGCCATCAAGCTGAATGGATCAAGCTGAATGGATCAAGCTGAATGCGGTTTTTTTCGGTTCTTTGCGTCCACTAACCGTAGACCTGCTTGGGGTTTCAGTGCTTCTTTCGGATCATCGAAGGAAGCTGCGAATGGTGGAGCACGAAAGTGGACGACCAATGACCAGGTGTTTGGATTGGTGCAGTCTTCCATGTAGGAGTCCGGGTGTTTGCTGAAATTCCTGCAACCTGGGTCAACATCTTCACGAAAAGGTGTGTTTTCCGATCTCAGCGGCCTGGGGTGAAAGGAACAACAAGGTTTTGTCTATTCCTGACCAAAGTGGTATGACCTCTGATTTGCTGGCTCCTTCCACGGATGCGGTTCGATCAATCAAGCATGTTGCATTCTGGATGTTGAAGCAACTGTTCTTGCCTTTGAGATTCTACCAGTGTGAAGTTCCTTTGGACAGGGTTTCAGCTGCATTGGAAGTCCATTTTTGCCAACACATGCCACTGAATTGCTGACCGACACGGGAACCGAACGACGTGACGTCTCCACAAAGGGTCTTAGTCGATCCACCACCAGGTCTCTTGCTCGCAGAAACGGATGCTTGCGCGTCCTTTGTCTTTCACCCGGACTTCGCCACTGGCGAGAGTGTCACTGGGAAGACCCTGGATCACTAGGCTTGGTCTCAAGAAATCTGGCCCACATTCACAATGGCCAAGTCCACTCCTGGCGTCTTCCGCCTTTCGCTCTCTTCCTTCACCAAACGTCAGCACGGCCCGTCCCTCGCACCGACCCGTGGGCGTCACCGGGTCACGCCAGGTCTCAGACATGGTGGACGAAGTCACCTCCAAGGCGCGCCGTCCGCGCCGTCCGTTGCAGTCCAACGGCGCCGTCCGGTGGAAGCGGTGCAGTTTGGGGGGGGTTCGGTTCGGTGCCCCCGGGCAAAACAGGAGATAAAGGCTCCCCTGTTGTTGGTTTGCACAGCGGAGGCAATGAGGTTAGACACAGATCAAAGGGATCCAGATCAACCATGCATCATACTATTAGTATGTTGAAACTCACACACTAAATTCCAACCCCCCAAATACCCCTGGATTCATTGACGGGGTTCCTTTTCACCATCCTCTCTCTCACCCCTCTCACCCCTCTCACCTATCCCCGTCACGTCCTCCCAAAAAGTGAACCGACCTCCACGTGGTCCGGAGTCCGCTCCGTCCTCCACGTGGTCTGGAGTCCGGCCATCGCCACACAGGAGCAGCGACAGCAAGCCAAGGAGGTGGTCAAGACCTTCGCCCGGGATGCCCGGGTCAATCACCGGTCACCGGTCACCGGGTCGGTCACGGAGGGCGGGCGGCGAGGACGTCCACGAGTCCGGAGTGCAGGTTTGTTGGAGCCTGAGGTATTTTGGTTAGAAGTGTTTTGCAAGACCTGGGTCTTCTTGTGGATAAATGCTGAAATACACGACTGCCACGGTATTCCAGCGCTTTCTCCGCTCAGTTTTCTGGCCGTTCATCCAGACTGTTCGGGATGTTCGTCCGGTGGTTTCCTTTTCAAAGGGTCTTGGGATTGGTTGCAGTCGGGTGATTAAGAAGCTCAGAGGCTGATGCTTTCTGGAAATCCTCACCGGTACGTTTGCTGTATACCGTTCCTCATCGAGAAACCTCCCAAGTTGCGATTGAGTGTCTATCACTGAAAGGATTCTCAGCAGAGAATGAAGAATGTCGCTCCGTAATGCCTAAGAAGTCAACCAGAACTATGAACTATGAACTGACTGGTGAAATGTTGTTGTTCCCAACTGAACTACAACAACGAACGACGACTGCACTTGACCACACAGACACCCGGTCTCCGAATGGACCCCCAAAAACCCGGCCGTGAAAGGGCCTCCCCTCAAGCGGCGCGGGCGTTCGGGCCTTCCACTCCGTCTCGAACATCGCCATGAAGCGGGTCCAAAGACGAAAGGCGGAGGAAGGACTGCGAAAGTTGTGCGAAACGGTCAGTGAAAGAGGCTTAGCTGGGAGAAATGGCCGCTGCCATGGATTTTTTGTTTTATTTGTTTTGGATTGTGTAAGGTCACTCCGTGTCTTTTTGGAGATGTTTTGTGTTTTGCCATGTGTTTTTTGCGCTGAAGCTGCTGCAAAGGAATGAAGTGGATTGCATCAAAAAATGCCGCAGTCTTCACATGGTGTTTGTGTCACATACAACACATGCTTTGGATCACGACGATTTCCAAGACGTCCCAATGATTCATCCATGAAAACTATCCAGCAAAGCATTCCCTAAGTACTCGTAGCTGATCTAGCCACACTTGAAACCTTCTCTTAGCTTGCCCAAGTGCTGAAGCCTGGTGCTCAGTCAAGGAACTGTTGCAGCTGTTTTGCTTCCCGAACTTGGACGTTCCGCAGAGACGCTGCTTTGCACTTTCGATTGATGTGTATGGTCTCAGCACAAACGCACGCCCCTTTTTCCCATGGATGGTTTGGGGTACCACAACCTATTGGCTCCCTGTCACCGCCCAAAACGGTTTCATCGTTTTGTTGGTCCAAAGGTCTGGGCACCGAAACCTCAACCTCAGGAAGCTGCAAAAGGTCCTGACGATCTTCCTCCATCAAAAGCGTGGCGCTTTGGCCTTCGCCTTACTGGAGGCCTTGCGATCGGGCCAGTTCCGTGTTCCCGTGAGCTTGGCCAACTACACCGCGGGCATCTCCGCCTGTGCCGCTCGGGCACAAAAAATAACGATTTCTATCGGTACCAGGGTAAATGGTGGGGGGGTGCTTTTTCGGTTGGTTGGTTGGTTGGTTGGTTGGTTGGTCAAAGGAACGTGCAGAGAGCTAGATACATTGATATACACCGAATGGTCAACCTTCAACCCCCGATCGAAAAAGCAAACTTTTGATGGAATCTGAAGCAAAACCAGAAAAAGAACGACCTTGGCCTTGACCCAACAGGTTGTGGAGATGTCTTTTTGCGGCGCCACATGGTGCCATTCATCCACAAATCACACCATCCAATGCAAGTCTGGTCTTGGTCGCCCAATTTCTCCGGTTTGCTTTTGCCGTCACAGACGGCACCAGTGCACCTTCGAACGGATGGCGTGCGATCGTCTTTTGTCCAGCTCCACGCCGGTGGACATCCGTCTTGCCTTGAAAAGCGTTTCGGTGGGCCTCCACGGTCGTTCGACTCGACTCGACGGTCGTGACGTCGCAGCACGCGCGGGAGTCGGTCGTCCGACGTTACGAGGCTCGCAGCAAGCTCTGGCAGCACGCCTTGAAGTTATTTGAAGCCATGCCCAAGGCCAAGCTGAAGCCGGATTCTTGGCGTGTGAGCGGACTTGTTCAGTTCTTCGCTGGAAAGCGGGTTTGTTGATTCGGAAAGTGGAGCAAGGGATGTGACTAACATGGACACCAAGATTGAAGGAAATGTGTGGGAAAGAACAGAGTTGCTCGCCATTGTAATTTGGGAAACAGAGTCTCTATTGAACATGGTTGTGCATTTTGGGGCCAGATTTCATCAAGTAAGGATGTCATTATCTACAACGCGACCATCAGCGCCTGCGAAAAGGGCGGACAATGGCAACAAGCTTTGGCCATGTTTCATGCGATGCCACTGGCAATGTCTCGTCCTGATGTTTATAGCTTTAGTGCGGCCATCAGTGCCTGCGAAAAGGGCTGGCAATGGCAGCAGGCACTGTTGATGTTTCATACAATGCCGGAGGCCATTGTGCAGCCAAATGTTTTCAGCTGCAGCGCTACGATCAGTGCATGTGAGAAGGGCGGAGAATGGCAACAAGCGTTGAAGCTGTTCATGGCGATGCCCAAGGCGAAAGTTCAGCCGAACGTGATTTGCTACAATGCTGCCATCAGTGCTTGTGAAAAAGGCGGGCAGTGGCAGCAAGCGTTGAAGCTGTTTGAGGCCATGGCAAATGCAAAAGTGCAAGCAAACGATGTAAGCTACAGTGCTGTAATCACTTCTTGCGCCAAACAAGGTCAATGGTGGCAAGCGGTGTCGTTACTTGAGGCCATGGATCAAGCGAAAGTTCAGCCCAGCGTCTTTTGTTACAGTGCTGCCATCACTTCCTTTGAGAAGAGTGGTCAATGGCAGAAAGCTTTGAGGTTGCTTGAAGCTATGCCTAAGGCCACAGTTCGGCCAGATGTTGTTACCTACAATGCCTGTATCAGTGCCTGTGAAAAAGGAGACCAATGGCAAGAAGCCCTAGCTCTTCTTCAGGTCATGCGGGGGGCGAGAATAGAGCCCAAGGTCATTAGCTACAACGCAGCCATTAGCGCTTGTCAGAAATCTGGTCAGTGGCAGAAAGCACTGGTCTTGTTTGATTCAATGCCCCAGAATCAGAGTCCTGGTTTGCTTGAGAGGTTGTTTTCTTCTGGGCTTGGAAGAGTCCCAAAACCCGTGGAATACATTGGGAAGCTGTTTTGTTTTTGTTGGGTTCCTGAAACTCACAAAGTCTTCTCAAAGTTCACTTTTCGTATTTCTAAGTGTATGTGTTCTCTTCGTTTGTGTGTACACATCTCAGGATTCACCGCAATGTCATCACATACAACGCCACCATGAGCGCCTGTAGCAAACGTGGGGAAAGCGCTTGGATGCAAGTGTTGAAGCTCTTGGAGGCAAGGGGTTGGGGAAGACCACAGTTGAAGGTGCCCCCAGCGTGCGAGACGCGGATCTAGTTGGCTGCACCCAGCATAGCTACACAATATCCAAAGCAGGAGTTCCCAAAATAAAAGGGGGCGTGTTTTTTGACCAAGAGAACGGGTGCCCAGCCCTCCGCCTGCTGTTCCCATTTTGCTTTCAGAATGTGTTTTTCGAGGGCATGAGGTTCGCCAACCTTCAGCCGGACTCCATCAGCTACAGCGTTAGCATCAAGACCTGTGAGACAACGAAACGGTGGCACGAAGCGTTGACGCTGTACCGGGCCATGTTGGAGGCGAAGATTGAATGGAGATGAAAGAGACCGAGAAACACGGAGGTTTGCTGCTACAGCAGTTGTGGGTGTGTATGGATTTTTGAGGTGTAGCTCCCAAGCCAGCGTTACTTTTTTTGTTTGTGAAAAATGGAACTGTGAGGTCTCCCGAGAGGTCTCCCTCTTCTCTGTAAGACCAAGCACCAAATAAGTGCTGTCATCTCGCTTTTTCCAACACACACCGAGAAACTCGACCAAGGGAATCCAAGGATGGCATGTCCAACCTCGGACGTTCGATCATGCACGTCCTGCGATCTGCATGTTCAGATCGCGTTTTTGGGGACCCTTGGCCACGGAGCAAGCTTCTGCGATCTGTGGGATTGGTGGGAAGGAGCCAACCCTTCCGAGACCTGGGAGCCTCCGAAACCCAGCTTCTTAGACCCTTCCCACACAGCAAGATCGTTCAACACCCAACCAGGTGTCACACGCCCCCCTGGTGGCGGGTGAAAGCCGGGGGTTTGCGTGGCTGGTGGTTGTTTGTTCAGTTCGTGCGCTCCGCGCGCACCCAACCAAAGGGACAAAGAAGCCCATTTGGTTGTGAAGAGATTTTGATTGAGCGGCGATCGTTTGTTCGATCGAAGGCATTGAACCCTTTAAGATTCTTGAAGAACGTTTGAAAGTTTGTCAGAAATTCTGACCAAAGCTTTGGGGGTTACAAGTGCCAGTCAGAGCTTGCCTTGACTGACTTTCTTCAACCAAATTGCCTACGAAGTCCCATGCTTTCACTGACGCGGCCAGTGCGGACGCAGAATGACCCCATTCTTCATCCGGTCTGGCTGCGTGAGTGCACGCAGAATAGGACACGCATGTTCTGAACTGGCAGAGGCTTGTCTTGCAATTATGTCGATCCATAGATCTATAACTTGGGTTTGTCCTGTTACCTGTAACAAGCCGTAAGCAATTATCATATATGCACATATCATATTAGAACGGGTTTTTTCAACAAGGCCTTTACAAACCATGATCATCCGCTGTTGCTGGTAATAGGATAGACCCAATCTATGACGCTCTGTCTGGATGAGTCCGGTGTAACTGGACAAGAGTTCTGTTTCCAGAGCTGTGGCCCTGGCTAGCACAGACCGGTGGCCCTGGTGGCAACCTGGCCTCCAACCTAAGTGCATAAGGAATCTAATAGGAATGGCCTCGAACCACCTGGGGGGCAGGGAAACCTTCCATGGCAACACTGGCAACACGTGCGACGCTGTTTGACATCTCAGCGTTGCCCGTGCAACGCTGTCAGGGTGCCATGAGACGTTCGCAAAATTGCTATTTCAGCAGAGCGGCGGATCGGTGGATCGGTTCTTCTCCGTAGAAAACGGCTGCGCGATGCTGCTGGGCCAACCCAGCGTTTCCGTCCCTTCCTTTCGAAGGAACCAACCCTGCGCCCACCTGGAATCTGGAATCCTCAAAATGGCCAGCGTTTTGGCATAAATACTGTGCTTCTCTTCCCCTATCCCAGGTGCAGAACTGTTGTGAGCCGAGGGTGAGATTTAGAGGAGATAGAAGCCATAGAATTTAGAGGAGGAAGGTACCAGGTAGGACTTCCTGGAGCGGTAGTGTTTCGTCAGGAGCGGTGTTCTCAGCTGGAGGAACTTGTTTTAGACCTGGAGGAACTCATGGAAAATCGGTGCCTACGAGTGCGGCATCAGACTATGATACACTAAAGCTCTCATGTGCTCCGAACGGACGAGACCGGTGTTGAACGGCACCACACGGTCACCGCTGAGTTACGGTCCCCACCGGGCTGGCCGAAACGGGCTGGCCCAAACGGTCCTAGTAGATTTCTTTGCTAGTAATTCTAATTAAATTCTTATTGTTACTAGTAGTAAGGCACTTGTTACTACTAGTAAGGCACTTGTTACTACTAGCGATGCACTTGTTGCATCGGCTTTGAGGTCAAAGAGATGGTGAAAGGACGAAAGATGAATGTGCCCTGGCATCGGCGTCGGCTGGCCGTGTGAGAAAGACACTGTTCGGTGAAGAGTGTTTTTGCACGTCAATTACAAAACCCCAGAGATGACCGAAGACGGGTGCTATGTGCAATCCACTTTGGAATCGTTGAGATGCTTGTTAAGTTGGCATCGTTTGCAATCACCATACAGCCAGTGAGAAAAGGTGAGCAGGAACAACCAAATTGCAATTCTATAGCCTGCTTTTTGGAGGTCTTTTCGAAGAAGGAGTGAAGTTTCACCCGTTGTTTTCAGGAGCGTTCTTTCACTGAAGGTCTGGGTGGAAGCCCCCTGGGTTGATAGCCGCCGTGGTCCGTGGCCTCGCACTCCGGGTTGCCCTGGTCCAATCGTCGGGTCAACTTCCCGGTTGCACAAAAGAGTTCCAGAGTGGTTCCCCAGGTCCCATCAAATAAGGCGAAAAGCACTCATTGATGGTATGCTATGGTCATGTGTGTTCCCTTGAACAGACCAGTTGAGCGCTCCGAGGTGCCACTCTCCAGTTTTGGAAGCTTGGAGAGTGAGCCTTGAAGGTACAAGTGAGCCGACTGGCTTGTCCCTGGTGTCAAGTGAGCTGTCAAACCTTCCACACCAATCGCACACCAAACCGTCCTTCCCAAACCGTCCCTTGAACGGGAAAACCCAGCACCCAAACCATCCCAAACCCCCTGCCAGTTCACCAGATGCTAGGCGAACAGGTCGACCGGAAGGGTCCGGGTCCCGACCGAGACGCGGCGACGCGCGGGGCGGAGCGCGTCGGCATCGGCTTCAGGTGATGACGCAGACGGGTCAACTGAAGACCTGCCCGGGGAGCTCGGACCGTTCCTTCGCGGGCGGAGGAGTTTGGGCGAAAGGAAGAGAAGCTTTTTGACCGGGATCTGACCTGGGACTAGAGTTGTTTCACTAGGTGTTGGGATGGTTTTGGATGGTTTTGACTGGAGGGTGAGGGAATAAAAGGCAAAAGAAGTGTTGAAGTTGTGCTGGTCCTACGTTGCTTCTGGTCCTGCAGTCTAGGCAGCTTAGCCACTGGTCTGGCAGGCTGAAACTGTTCGACAGGGAGGTGAGGCGTTTGGACTGGAAGAGAGGCTGACATGACTGGGAAAAAGGAACTAATACCGCGCCTCCTGACTGGTGGATGAAGCTGTCGACGATATCATGTTTAAAGAGAACTGATGTGTCAGAGAGGGCCCGTCTATTGGAGATGAACATGGCAGAGGAAATCACATGAAAATCTCTGGGCAAGTCATTTACACTGCTTCCGCTTGGACTCGGCATCACTCTTTTCGGAGCATTTGGGGACACCGCCTGCGAAGATTCCCGCACGGCGGAATGTTTGTAGGTTCCAAACCTGGAAGCTTCACATTGGACGTTTGTAGGTCCCAAACCTGGAAACTTCACTGTTTGGAGGCCCCAATTGTTCCGGAACTGGGCGACGATGCGGGCGACCCATGTTTGACCGGCCGCCTGAGGTGTGGTCTCTCTCAGTCGGAAGTTGGACACCCTGAAGATCAAGGCGCGAGGGTAGAGAGGAGGTCCGTGCGTGTTCCAAGAATCATGCTTTGGTGGTCGTAAAGGACAAAGGGTGATCCGTTACAGGAGTGGTATAGATCCACTCTCTACACCCAGAGCCTGCAGACTAGACAAAGAGGCCTGGGGAAGCTGAATTCCCGGTAAAGGAACTGCATTATAAACAGGCTTTATCAGGTTAAGTTATAGTACAAACTCACTCCAAACATTGGTACAAAAAACACTGCCAACGCTTCATAAGGTTCGGACCAATTCCATGTGAACAACGGTGCAAACCCAGCTTTGGTTGCAGAGAGACCCTAAACCGTGAAACCAAAAAGCTCAGAATCCTGGGTGGTTGATCTGTAGTTTGCATGGAACAGCGGAGGCTCTTCTAAATCAATCCATGTAGAATTACATACATATATATATATATACCAGGACACCCTAAGGGGTGTCTATTGAAAGCCCCTTAGAGGTTAAGGGATGTCCATTAACCACCCCTTGTGGGTCCTAGTATATATATATATATACATACATACAGTCTGTTACCGTTTATACACTCCCAGGAATCTGTTGGACGAGTGCCTCCGTAACGTCTTGACGTGGCCCGGTGCTTTGTGTTCGCCTCGCAGCTCGCAGCGCCACGTGAGTTCAGGTGGGCAGCCAGACCCGATCCATCGCCTTGCGAGACATTGACGAGATCGCAGCAGGCCTGACTGGTTCGTCGGTGTTTTTAAAGTGCTTTGGGGTGGCCTTTGCTAAGGACAGCTGGCCACGACCTCCAAAGACTCCGCCAGTTGGCAAGGCTCCAGCAAAGAGCATGCCCAAGTCCCGCAGTTCATCGCCATTCACTCCTGGTGATGACTCAGAAGATCAGGTGGAACCACCGAAGGAGCCGATCGCATCCGAAGGAGTGGAGTTACAAGACAACGATCTTCAGCCAGGACAGGTGCATAGCAAGCGGCCAGTGGCATGGCTTTTGCTCGGACCGGCGCCGCTGACCTCGATCTCAGGCCAACACTCCCTGAGAAATCGAGTGTTGAGGAAGATCGCTTCAGATGGTGGCCCAAGCGAGAACTACCTGCCGGGCTTGCTCAGGCGGCGCTTCGTCAGGTCGAATCAAAGCAGGGCGACCAAAGTGCACCAGGTCTTTTGCAGCAGCGCCAAGACCCTTCCGCAAGAGTCGGTCCAATACTTCCACAAATGTTGCGAGTGTTGGGACTTGACCAAAAGGCCAAGCGCGACAGCACGGAGTTCACAAGAACACTGTGATCGGGTGTGCCGGATCTACACCCGGGATGTGGCCTCAGAAGGTGGAGGCACGACTTCGCTGGTGGATTGGTGGGTGTGCTGTCCCGTGTGGGAGCCAGCTTGGGATGGCTGAGCGCTACCAGTGACGCTTAGCATATGGAATGGCCACAGGCCTTGGAGTTTGGAATGGCCATAGGCCTTAAAGTTTTCAGGAATGGAATCCGGTCATTTTGACCTTGAGGAAGTGAAAACATTTCTTGTGCTTGCATTCGAGCATTTGCAATTTTGTGACTTTTGAGTCAGTTTGCATTCGAAATTCACTCAGACTACAGAGCAAAGGGGGTGCGGGTATTCGAAACCACTTTGTGTCCATACCCAGTGCTCTTAGGTCTTCCTGAATGTTCTTCGTGAGCTTACACCTCAGTGTACCTTTTGCATTTGTCCTCTCACGAGTTTGCACTTGTGTCTTGTGCAGTTGTACCTTCAACCTCTGAAGCCGAGGGGATTCAGTTTTTGTGCTCTCAGGAGTTTGCTTCCATATGTGTGCGCACCACATCCAGTATGCATTTTTCAGAGTTCGATACTTGTGAGTGCATGTGCACTATGTCATTATGCTTGATTCGAGTAAGATGCATAATTTGCAGTTTTGTGTGCATGAGCACCAGTTCGTCATTTTGTTTGAGCGCATTGCAAGTTTTGTTCGATTGAGGTTGTGTTTGAATTGCTCACTTCGTTCGCCATTCAAAGGTATGAAGAAAGTGAGGGATTTTGCATAGAGCATTTTGTGCAGTGCATTTGAAGCATGTGCTTCCTACAGATGCAGTTGTTGAATTTAGAAAGATTTCGGATAGTTCAGAAATCTCAACAGGAACCACTCATTTCATTCGTGGTTGAACCATCTACGAGCCCAGTCGTATAGCACGACTTATGTGGTTGAATCCACTATGCATTGTTCGGTTAGGTAACCACCAAAAGTATGTCGACAGTTCCTTCGAGGATTGCGAATGCGAGGTGGATTACATCCTTACGATGTATGCCGAATTGGCTCAAGAATGGCTCGTGTGAAAGAGAGGAGAAAAGATTCAATATAAATCAAAGATTTACATTGAATATGAACATATCAAGAATTGTAGTTTTCTCCTATATGATTTTGGTGTGGTGTCATTTTGTGTTCCT